CATATCTCCTTGGGTTATTTCACAGATTATGTAAGAAGATGAATGTAAAGTACTTAGTCCAATGCCTAGCGTAAAGTAGATGTGAGTTCATTTCATCACAGACTCTTTTTTTTATGGGTACCTTATTGCACTAGTGTACTGTGAAAAATATTTTTGGAAATGTACCAGATTAGACTATTCTTTCACTGATTATATTATTGTTACTTTTTAAAATTTGACAAATAATTATTGATTATCTCCTAAGTATAGAGGTAGTAGTAGGCTTAGGGCAACAGCATACATAGCTGAATATTCTGAAGGACTTTTAAATTATTTTTAACTCAGAAAAAAAATTCAGAGCCTACCATATGTCAGACACAATGTACTGCTTTGCAGATACGGTGATGGCCAAGGCACATATGGTGCCTACCTTCATGAAACTTAGAGTGTGAAGAAAGGACTGGCATGATGTATGGCCAGTGTTTACAAGGTAATGCAAAATAGTATAAAGAGTGTTCTGATAAAGGGTGAATAAGATGGGGGCTATTGGGTTAGCTGAGATCCACCCATGCTAGACTTGCACATCATTTTAAAGAGTTTTTACTCATTGTTCAGTTCCCACCTATGAGTGAGAACATGCGGTGTTTGGTTTTCTGTTCTTGTGATAGTTTACTAAGAATGATGGTTTCCAGCTGCATCCATGTTCCTACAAAGGACACAAACTCATCCTTTTTTATGGCTGCATAGTATTCCATGGTGTATATGTGCACACCGGGGCCTATTATGGGGAGGGGGGAAGGGGGAGGGATTGTATAGGATTTATACCTGATGTAAATGACGAGTTGATGGGTGCAGCACAGCAACATGGCACAAGTATACATATGTAACAAACCTGCACGTTATGCACATGTACCCTAGAACTTAAAGTATAATAATAATAAAAAATAAAAAAATAAAAATAAAAATTTAAAAAAAAAAAGAGTTTTTACTTTATCCTAAGGAAAATAGAAGACCATTTTCAAGGTCAACAGGATGAAGGGACAAAATATTAGAAAACACACAATATTGGCATGTCACTGAATATAAACAAAGAAAAGCTTGAACAGAATAGCTGCTATCATTATATAGAATGGTAGGCAATATACATCACACACAGCTATCTCCGTCTACTGTTTATTTCATTCCTATCAATAAATTTCATTGCCTCTTTATAAAACGTCGACTTCATGGTTTTTCATGTGGCATAAATTTACTCAGACTCTAATCAGTTTTTTGTTTCGGTGAAGATTTTTTTTTTTTTTTATGTATCGCAAATGTGTTTGTGCCTTCCATTGCTTGCTAACCGGCAGGTGCATCACATTAACATAGCTCTTAAACCAACCAAGCAGAGCCTGATAGGTGTGGTGGGATCTGACAGTATTCATTTGATATGAAACAATGACTCTTTGCTAAAGGGCCTGGACTGACAGACCTGCAAGGTTAAAGTCTCTGGTGAACTTGAGAATAAACTATAGAGGTTTGCATTTCCACACATGGTCTGCAAGACCAACTTGCCATAAGTATATTCAGGAGAGACCACTCTGCCTTTTGTGAATACATAGTCTACCCATTTTAGACATTTTTAACAAGCAGAAAACGCTTCTGTCAGAAGGGAGAATTCTGTGAGGTTGCTAAATAATGACAAAGTGCTGGAATAAACAGAAAGGAGAACATTTGGCCTTGAGAGTTTAGTGTTCTACTGACAGTGTTCTGACAGAGGCACACAGTCAGAGTTTGATAGTGAATAGTCTGTTCTCTGTGTAAAAGTGGACAATAACAGATGTGTATCTCCCTAGCAATTGAGATGTAAAAATCTTCAAGCTAATTTGGTTTTCATTTAGTGTGAAGAGAAATTGCCTCATGGAAATAGTTTTAAGATGAGAGGTAATGTTTCAAAAGAAATATATAAAATATCCTTTCTTGTTATTTTGCTAATTTAGAAAAATATAGTTGCATATTTTTCTGCTTCCCATGATATTTCTTTGAATTAAAAATTTTTACCACAGTTTCATTGGATTGCAAAAACATATTTTATAAACTTATAATTTATCAAATCTATTAGATTGAAATAAGATAAATATAATACAAGAAATCCTGTTTTTTGAGAAGGATTCTAAGAGTTTATGAACAAAATCAGATGTATTTAAGAAAACCTATTGGAATATGTAGTTCAGGGAAATCTTGACACTTATATCAGGTTTAGATTTAGCTCCATATAACAGATAACTTATTAAAAAGCAGAAGTTTAAGCAAAATAAATTATTTCTCTCATTAACAGAAAGTTTCTTAGTGAACATTTCCAGGCTAGTATGGCAGTTTTATAGTTAAGGATTTAAACTTCTTTCATCATTTTGCTTCACCATCTTAGCATGTATCTTTCATTCTCAAGGTGGCTTTGTAGTCAGAGATGACTTCTGGAATTCAAGATATCTCAGGCACATTCTAGACTTCAGAAAGAAGGAAGATTTGGAGGTCATGCTACTCTTCAAGAGATTTTCCAGAGGTCAATATAATACTCTAACACTTCCGCTTATATCTGATTGTCCAGAGTTTAGTCCCATGGCCACACTTTAAGGCTCTAAGGGAGGATAGGAAACTTAGCTGGGTACATTAGTGACCCACATAAAATCAAGAGTGTACTAATACTGTATCTGTATCTGTATGAGATGAGTATATCTGGGCCACTATCCAGAGGATTCCTGGAAGTCCCCGGCTCACTCTCCACAAGCCATAAGTACTATTTCTCCGACATGCACGCAATTGCTAGCTCTGTCAAGTGGTAGTACTTTGAGTATGATGTTTCCTAGGGTGCTCCATGACCATCCTGCGATGGAGTCCACATGTGCTCAATGTGCGTTTTCCAGAGCTGGAGACTTGAACTGGATGCTGCTCAAGCACCGCCTGTTTGTCAATAAGTTTGATGTGTATGTTGACCTTTTCGCCATCCAGTGTTTGGATAAGCATCTGAGACACAAAACTTTGAAGACATTAAAATACTGACTATTACAGGCAATTTTATGAATAGTAATAAGGATACACAAAAAATACCCTTATCTGATTCCTCTTCCTTGTCAACAAGCATCGGGAAAACGGTATGAGGTCCTCTTTGGGGTGGGGACTCAGTCTTCTTGTCAGAGAAGCTGCATGTTTTCTGCAGAGCACCATTGACTAGAAATGTGATAGCATTAAATGTTCACCTAAATTTAACGTGAGGGGGAGTAAAAGTAGCCTTGAGGCCAGAGCAGGTAGCAAGGCATTCTGGAAAGAGGGGACCAGGGTGCCTGGGGAAGAGGCCAATGCATAAGGGCAGCCTGTTCAAAGAGCTCAGGGACTTAGCAAAATGAGAAGATTTCACCTGTGCCAAAACTATTAAGAATTTTAAATGTGACAATTTTCCTGGTATGAATAAACTTATAGCAACAAACAACCATAAAGATATAATTGATCTGATACATTGTATTGAAATAGAAATTTGATTTTACTCTAAATTATTTGGCCAGGCTGGTCTTGAACTCCTGACCTCAGGTGATCCACCCACCTCGGCTTCCCAAAGTGCTAGAATTACAGGTGTGAGCCACCACGCCTGCCCCAACAAGGCTATTTTTTTTTTTTAAAGAACACTTCAGTGTACACTGAAATACATATTTATAAGTACTGCTTTTTAAATATGTGCCAACCTAACTTTTTCTCATTACAGATGCTGAAGTGGAGGGAAAATGTGAAAGACAGGAGGTGCTCACCTTTTCCCTGAGCAAGAGGAAAGTCAACTTCCCTCAGTTCTTAAGAAAAAGTGCAGGCCATTCACAGTCTGCCTTCAACCCAGAGAAACAGGAATCACTTTCTCGAGCACTTTTTTTTCTCATCCCTGTCTCCTTGCTCCTGTCTGGGATTAGGCTTGACCTTTTAGTACTTTTTTTTTTTTGTAACCAGGAGCTGGAAAATACAGATTTAAACATGGTGGGAAATGAGGGATACTAAGATGTGTTGAACAGCAGGGCAATCAAACAGCTGTGGAGTTGGAGAGAGAAAGCTGGATCATATCAGAGTGGATGCTATCAAAGGAGTTATGAGCTTAACATGACAGAAAATTGCATGTACTTGAAATATGCCATTACAAAATGCCAGCCTGACATTAAGCTGCTTTATAGAGGTATCATGTCCTTAAATAGCCTGGTGATTATTCGTGTCCCTGGAGCTCTGCTTTCCTCCCTGATTTTGTAATGCCCTGGCTTGCCTTTAATCACTGCAAAGAGTGTCACCATCTTAGAAAAATTCTTAAAAGAAAATTAATTTTGATTTCCATTGATGTTCTAGAGAGTTTTTTTTTAATAGCTGGGATGGGGATGCAGCCTCTGTCCCACAATGACAGGAGGTAGCAGTTTCCGGTAGGGGTAAGGATCCTACTTTGACCACCCTTAAAAAACAAAAGCATTTTCTATATGCCCATTATGTGTCAAGCACTTTACTTGCACTATCTCATTTAATTCTCATAAAACCTATAAGGTAAGTTCTATTATTAGACTTATTGAAATTAAAGTACAGAGAGACCAAGTGACTTGCCCAAGGTCACTCAGCCGGCTAGTCAGTAGTAAAATGGGGATTTTAACTCAGGCGGATTGATTCCGGAGCCTATTCTCAGGTAGTCACACTGCTTTCCTCAAGGACCATGTTCCACTGAGAGGCCTAAGTTGGGAAGATAAGGTAAATTATTAAGAAATATTTATAGAAAGGACAAAAGAGAACAAGAGATAAGATAATGCATTCCACCTTTGTCTTTAGAATGGTATGGTTAAGAAAACAAAAACCTGTGCTGGGCTTTATACGTTAAGAAACATTCTAATAAATACTACTGCCACCAGAAAAAAAAAAAAAAAGATTATTCTTGCATAAGGAGAGGCAACAGGAAGTGTGAATGAGAAGCACAAATGTGGAAAGTAAAGCTCTTTAAAAAGGAAAGCAGCTGCAAACTTCCCATCTGCAGTGTTTGTTTGTCTCGGCTCCAGTCATCACTGCCACGATTACCCCTGGATGAATTCCCCAGTGGAAATATCAACAAGGTAGGAAATGTGATAATTATATTTTCTATTATCCCCAAAAGAATATATTAAGATGGTAGATATGGACATAATTTGGAAGAAAAGTGCTAGGTAGTAGACACAATTGCTGATGAAACAAAACTAGCTGATTTTTCGTCCTCTGGTATTAGCAAAAAGGCAAAGTCCCAGATGTTATTCTGCACCTCTTCTAAAGTGTAGTTGTAATTGAACAACAGCTAGGCTTATTGGATTGCTTTCTGCTTTTCTCTATAAAACAAATATATATTCAGTACATTCTAGACAATCTTCTAGAGGTCATAATAGTAACAGTGAATGATCCAATAGATGACTTGGGATATCACCTCATACTAGTTGGTGGAGTAGAGAAAGGATTGATGCCTGTTGATGTAAAAAAGGTTTCTGGAGGAAGTGAACATTCAAGGGGTAATTTTTGTGACTCAAAAATATGGAATATTGATATGTTATGGAATGTTGATCTGTTAAGCTCTCTTTCTATAACCTCCAGCTTTTCTGAGGCTGTCACCTAAGATGCCTGCTAAAACTTGTACTCTCATCATTCTTGCATGGCAATTTGGAAGTGTGGGAATATTAATGTCTTGTAGGGAAACCTTCAATCGAAAAGAACCATGAGACAATGGTCAAACATTTCTCTCCTTTGCCCCTTGGGTAGTCAATTTTAGACTTTCTGTATAGCTCCTCATAAGATCTGAGTGAAATCATGCACAGTTGGCCATGGTTATGTTCAACGCCCTATGCACCTTTGCACTGACTTTCTCTCCTACCCCATTTTATTCTCACTAGATCTTCTCTCCTATTTCCTGGAATCATTTCCAAATAAATGACCTGAATGCAATTCTTATGCAGGTTCTGTTTTTATGGAGGTCCCAGACTAAGGCAATTCCACATTATAAAAGGAGCAACATCTATGGGCTGAGAGATGAGGGGGGGTGTTTGTCAGGGTATGGTACCGGTATTAATACAGCTTTCTCTCCTCTACCAGATATCTAAATATTGACATTGTGGAAGGTTTCTCTAGGATTCATCTGCTCTTTTTAAATCTTCTTTTCTTTATCTACACTTTCTCTTCTTTATCTATATTTCTCTTCTATATTTTCTCCTTAGACAATCTATAGTTCTATGGTTTTAAACACCACCTTTATTTTAATGACTACCCCAAATTATATCTTTAGTCCTGATCTTGCTTCAGAGCACCAGCATCATATATCCAATTGTCTACATTTCATCTGCATTCGGATGTCTAACTGGCATCTTTTTCTTCATTTGCACAAAATAAAACTCTTGTTTCCCTCCCAGTAAAATAAGCTGTTTCCTACAAAATAAGCTGTTATGGCCCTATTCTTTTTCATGGCACTACCATCTACACTATAGCTCAGACAAAGAAAACTTGATGTTCTTGGTTTTACCCTTTTCATACTCTTCCCAGCAAGTTCTGAATATTTTATCTCCAGAATAGATTTCAAATTTATCCACTTATCTACATCCCCACTGTAATTGCCCTTGTCCTAGGCATAATTATCTTTTGTCAGGACCACTCCAATAGCCTTATAAAATCTATTAGAGATAATACCATCAGAATAGTTTAAACAAATACACATAAGTCACTAGCCCTTTTCAAGCCTTCCAGTGATTTCCTAAGGCATCTGGAAATAAAAGTTAAAAACCTTTCCATGTTCCCAAGGTCCTATATGATCTAGGCCCTGCTAACATTAGATTTTTTTTTTTTCTTGCTCACTATTGCTGTAGACTGTGTTTATGTGCCCCCCTCCCCCCGATTCACATGTTAAAACCTAACTGCCAATGTGATGGTATTTGGAAGTGAGGTCTTTGGGAGGTGATCAGATCACGGGGCAAAGGTTTCATGGATGGGATTAGTGCCCTTATAAAAGAAACTCCAGAGAGCTAGTTAGTCCCTTCCATGTGAGGACACAGTGAAACTGCTGTCTATGAGCCAGGAAGTAGTCCTCATCAGAACCAAGTCCACTGGTGCTTTGATCTTGAACTTTCCAGCCTCCAGAACAGTGAGAAATATATTTCTGTTGTTTATAAGTCACCTAGTCTATGGTGTTCCGTTATAGCAGCTGGAGTGAATGAAGACACTTACGCACCAGTCACAGTGATATCTTTTCATTCTCCGAAAAGCCCTGCTTCTATCTTTCCTCAGGGTCTTTCATTTCTGAACCTTCTGCCTGGATAGCTCCTTTTCCAGCTTTTCATGGGCCATACTCCTTATTCTTTAGGCCTCAGTACAAATATCTCCTCCTCTGAGAGTGATTCTTGCCTTGGTGACCTGTGAAAATGCCCTCCAGCCCAGTTACTGTCTATCACTACTTGTTTATTTCCTTCATAATTCTTCTCAGAAATTTCGTATTGTGTTTTGAGCCATTTTTATTTTCCATTCATCTTTTCAATTAGAAGGTAAGCTCCACAAGGTCAGAAGTCTTTCTTTCTTGACAAGTTTTACATTTCTAAACTAGATCTGGCAACTTTGTGGAATATAAATGGATAGGATAATTATTTTGAGAAATTCTTCTGGATAGGTGCATGTAGGAATCTTCTTTTTTAAAACTTACACTGAGGCAAAGAACCTAATAATGTCTAATTTTTCCTGTCTCAATTATCTATATATCCTTGCATCTTTGAAACTCTAATGAGACCAGGAGATGGGAGTAAACAATCATTTTGTGTGTGTGAGTACATAAAGACATCTGCTAAATCTTCACTTCTTATTTTTTATGGTCAGTATTATTTTCAAGTAGGAAGCAAAACTGATGATTCATCTCTTAGTAATCAAATTTATTATAACCAATTATATTTTTTCAATAGCTTTTATCTCAATAGAATGATTACAACTGAGAAGCATGAGATTTTATGAGAAAGGACACGACTTAAATTCTATTCAGTCTATAATGTTTTCTCTTTTTATAAAAATGACTTGGCTAACTTCTTCTAATAGAACCCTGACACACACAGACTGAAATTCTTAGTACTTCTTAACTCTTCCCCTCTTAAGTCATTCTGTCTTTCAGATACACACAAATTCATTATCTCAGTTCCTTTCAAAGACCTATATATCCAAAACTTCAATACCTTTTAGTCACAGATGCTTCTTTTACTCTCGTTTCCGTTTTCATACCTGCCACCTCAGGATGTGGTACCCAGCTTTTTCATGTCATCATAGGCTGGATCTGTTTGCTTCATTTTGTGATTCTGGGCCAGAGGGCCCTGAGTTCACTTTGGAAGCCTTATTCTAAAATTTAGTGCCAAATATCACAAGTGCCAAAGGAATAAAGGTTTTTTTTTTTATATTTATGGTGAAAATAATGATAAAGCAAGTCCAGTCCTGTGTTGATTAACTATTAATATGAATTTTTATTATTTCTGAAAATATTTACACACATTTATGCATATCAAAGCTAACATTAAATTCTTAGGCATTTTTTTTTCTTAAAATCTTATATTACAGCATCTTGCAGCTTTTTGTAATTTAGAATTTCTCATACTGAATTTTCCTAAAGAGAGACACATGTCTCTTATTTGTGATTTAGTTTCTTGATATGTAATAACTGCATCATGGGTTTTGTTACATTTAAATGTAAAGCAACTGGGCTGTGATACATAAATTTGTTAATGTTGTACTCTCAGTTTGCCAAAATGACATGAAATAATTTGATTTTATATATTGCTCTTGATGCCCCTTGTTACTCTCTTATACTTAGCTAGACTTTGAGATTTTACAGTACAGAGATTTTCTGTACTCTAACCTCAGGGAAAACTTCTTACCCCTTTTTTTTTTTTTTTTTTTTTGAGATGTAGTCTGTCTCTGCTGCCCAGGCTGGAGTGCAGTGGCACCATCTCGGCTCACTGCCACCTCCGCCTATCGGGTTCAAACGATTCTCCTGCCCTAGCCTCCTGAGTAGCTGGGATTATAGGTGCGTGCCACCATGCCTGGCTAATTTTCGTATTTTTAGTAGAGATAGGGTTTCACCATGCTGATCAAGCGTGTCTTAAATTTCTGATCTCGTGATCCACCTGCCTTGGCGTCCCAAAGTGATGGGATTACAGGCATGAGCCACTGTGCCCAGTCACCACTTTTGTAATTACTTGATGGGTATGAGAAATACCTGCTTGGAGATCAGTCTCACTAATGGGTCTTGTCTCAACTGACTTGAAAAGAACCCAGAAGAAGATTTGATGTATTTGATCAGTCAAGTGCTATCCTTGATTCATCTGAGTGATTTCTGTCCTCTTCACCTCTTTCTGTCTGTGCTTCATGTTTAATAATGAAATGCTCTTACCATCAGTGCAGAGGGGTCCAGACCTCCCATATGGGCAGAGGCAGATAATATCTGTTCCGGATTTTGGAACACAGGTGGCACCATTTCCACATGGGTTGTTTTCACAACTTGCAAACTGGCACAGCTTGCCTGAATACAGCCTTGGACACTCACAAAACAGATTTTCACTATCACTGAGAAGGGAAAAAAATTTAAAAATTCATTAGAAAACGACTGATATTTTCTACACACAATACACATGTATACACATTCATGAACACATATGCAAATAAAATTATAATTGCATCTTTTCTAATAAGTGACTTTTCTCCCTTTTTTTCTGTTTCAACTTTTGAATATTTGTAGCTGTGTGCTTTCCGTTGAAAGCAGATTAACAGCTTTATAGATTATCTGGAGCCATGAATTCTATTTTAAGCCATCTATTTTTATTTTCGATTTGTCTCCTCTTTTTATTTCACACTGGGTGCCTTTTCAGGGCTTCATCGAATATGTGTGGTGCTGCCTCAATAAAGTGCATCAAATGTCTATTAGCAAAAAACATCTTAGACTCAAAGCTCAGAGGAGAATTTTAAGCTGGTGATAAGCTTCCCCACACTGAGGACAAAGTCCTCCAAGAGCTGCGCTTGTAGTAATCCTGAAAATAAGCCACAGTGGGGAGCTGTAATGACTATATAACTCTTCAGC